TGAGGTAACAGATGCTTATGTTTCAAGCCACTGAAGTTCAGGGTAGTGCCTTGCTCTGCAGTGTATAAGTCACAAGGCTCTCTTTAGTTTCTTTTAGTCTGCATCGCTGATTCCTTGCACTTGGAAAATGTCACCTGCACTCACTATTTCCAGTTCCTCTCCTCCTGTTCTCTCTTTTATTCTGTCTTTTCTCCATTCTCCCTTTTCTCTTTCTTTTCTTTATGTGTATTATCAGATGTCTCAACCATCCTATATAATAAAACCTAATGTCCAAATTGACCGAACTGCGGAACAACCGGCAGAATGACCAGTCACTATGAGGTGCACTGACCACCAGGGGCAGACGCTCAGCGCAGGAGCTGCCCCCCGGTGGTCAATGCACTACTACATTGGTTGCGCTGCTCAGCCATAAGCCAGGTTCATGGCTGGTGAGTGCAGTGGTGGCGGTGGGAGCCTCTCCTGCCTCCGTGGCAGCGCTAAGGAGTAACAAGCCAATCAGTAAGGAGCAAGCAGGCGGGCAGTAATGAATGAGCTGGAGGGTGGTTAGGAGCAAGGGGTCCTGGACTGCAAGAGGGTGCAGGCCGGACTGAGGGACACCCCCCTTCCTCCTGTGCACGATTTTGTGCACCAGGCCTCTAGTATGAAATAATACTCTGTGATTATGCTAAAGGAAGAATTACCTGGGTGTATATGTTAAAAGTATAAACACAAGAGATATGGAATAAAAGGAAAGAAAGAAGTAATTAATAATCTGCAAAGAAAATGCCCAGTTGATTCTGCAACCAAGGACCTGACAATCCACTTTTAATGCTTCTATTTAAGCTCAGGTTGGTTTATTTTCAGAACAACTATATCAGCAACATAAAATCTTCCACATTCCTGGTTAAAGTTTAAATTGGCACTCACACTTTCAAATCACATGAGCATCATCAGGTCTGGCTAAAGTTACAGGCCTCACAGGGTCCAGCATTGCCACCCCTGACTACCCCCTCTGGGGAATTCCTTGCTTTGTGCCCCAGGAGACATGTACACTAATGTTTGCAGCAAAAACTGGAATGACCACATATTCATCAATAGGAAAATAGCAAAATTTCAGTATAACCATCTATAAAAATAAAAGCATAATACGCTAATTAGTCCAGACGTCCTTCTGGACGACCTTCCAGACAAAGCCTGGGCTGTGAGCACCGAGGCAGAGGCAGCCACCACAGTGGTGGGGGCTGAACCCCTTGCACGAATTTCGTGCATCAGTCCTCTAGTAAAATATAAGACCTCAGCACTAAAAGTGTAAGGACAGCCTCACAGATGAGAGATGACCCTTATGTATTGCTGAGCCTCAGAAGACTCCATGCAGTACAAGTTCACTTTACAGGAAATTTAAAGCTGGTAAAATTGAAAAACATTCGTTTGGGAGATATATATATATTAATTATAAAATCTTTAGAGAGTCTCAAGGGTGTAAAAAACACAAGACTCAGAACAGAGATTACATCTGGGGGACAGGGCTGTGAGTGTCAATGCCAACAGGAGTCCCGCAGTGAGGTGGACTGAGGACACTGTATTCACTGCAGACAGCTGGATGGTAATACAGCTCGTCAGTGAGACCAGCACGGCTGTGGGACAGCTGGGTGTGATACAGCAGGGCTGTACCCTCTCTGCCCGCAGAGTCTCACCCAATTGCTGTCAGGATGCTAAGGTGGTGTGTAGACCGAGTGTAAGATCCACATTTTTCTGACTGAAAGTCGATTTCCTGACACACAGGTTTTTGAAGATGCTGAGTACGAAAACTGACATTTTAGCCAATATTTTTACATTCTTAATGAACTAAATTAGAAAATTCTGAGAAATAGCAAAGAATTATTTTAAAGGCATTATTGTTATGGAGCCCAGTCTTTAAACTGTGTGATCTAGCTACCATGTGTTCTCAATGTTGTTGCCACTTACTGTAGGGAACATTATTACTAAAGGCAACTCTAAGAAAAACTTATAAATATTGTTGTATCTCCTTGCTCTGTCTCAAACTTTTAATCATACTTTCCAAAAGTGAAATTTTTAGAGCACTGAATGAAATAATCACATAAAGGAAACACTGACTTACAGAATCCTGAAACAGCATGTAGTGTGAACTTTGGTTTTCACATGTGTGTGAATTCTGTGACACTCCCCCTTCCGGAGGTGGAGCAATTCCCTCCTCTTGAGGGTGGGGGCTGGACTTGCTCACTCACTTCTAACTGAGCAGTAAGGCTGGTGTAATGGGTGTGACTCTCAGCCTAGGACATTGAACTCACTTCCACGCTGGTTGCTCTCTCTCTCTCATCACTTGCTCTAGGACAAGAAGCTCTAGTCATTCGCTGCCTTATGGCCGAGTCCCCATGGCTAGGAACTGAGGGCTCCTGGGACCATCCAGGGAGGAAATCAGGCCTCTGCCAACAGCCCTAGGAGTGAGCCATGTGTCAGCGGGTCCTCCAGCCCAGCCAGCCTTCAGACCATGCAGCCCTGGCTGACAAGTGACGGCAACCTTGAGAGACGCCTGAGCCAGAAACACTCAGGGCAACCCCTCCTGGGATCCTGACCCTGGGAAACTGGCAGATAACACACATTTGTTGTTTTTAGCTGCTGAGTTTAGAGTAATTTAAGCTGAAAACATGACCAATACTGTGTCCAAAGAGAGAATGAGTGATTGCACTTAATTTTCATTTGTTCTAAATTAATTATATGATACTAGGGGCTCAGTGCACGAATTTGTGCACCTTGAAAGGAATTGTGGGCCACAAGGCTGCAATGGGCACAGGCAAAGGTCTTGGCCCATCTTCTGTGCCCCCGCCTGGCCCCTCCATCCAAGACCCAGTCCCCTGTCTGCCTGCAGCCCTGCTCACACATGCTGAGGGTACCGGCCCTGCTCACACCTACTGACTGGCCCAGAGCAATTGGGGCCAGCAACAGCAGTTGGTATGATTGGGGCCGGCACTGTCAGCAGGTGTGAGGTACCCTAATCACCCCTCAGGAGCAGGGGGAGATGGAGAAACTCTCTGGGGCAATAGAGGCCAGCAGCAGCCACTTGCACCCGCTGACAGAGTTGAGCAATCAGGACTGGCACTGGGTGCCAGCAGTGGGTGCAAGCAAGGCTGGTGCCAGCAGCAGGTGTGAGCACTGGGCGTTATCATGGGCATGGAAGCAAAGAATATTCAGTAACCACCAGAGGCTTGCCCCAATGACAGTGACCGGCGCCGGGGCTTTGTTGGCTCCCCCAATCACATGCTGCACCATCCCCCAGCATGTTCCATGCACGCCCCTGATGGTCAGCACACTTCATCGCGACCGGTTGTTCAGTTGTTCGATTATTCCGGTTTTTCCGCCATTCTGTCTATTTGCATTTTAACCTTTTATTATATAGGACTAGAGGCCCGGTGCACAAAAATTTGTGCACTGGTGGGGGAGGGGGGTGTCTCTCAGCCCCACTTGTGCCCTCTCACAGTCTGGGACCCCTCGGGTGATAATGACCTGCTGGCTTAGGCCCGCTCCCGGGTGGCAGAGGGCAGGCCCAATCCCTAGGTGCAGCCCCTGGTCACCTGGTCAGGAGGGCCGACTGGGGAGTTGGGGTGCCGCCCCCTGTCATGCACAGAGCAGGGCGGATCAGGAGGTTTCGATGTTTCGATGAGTCACACTCAAGGCAGGGTCGATGGGGAGGTTGCGGCGCCACCCCCTGTCACGCACAGAGCAGGGCAAATCAGGGGGTTGGGGCCCCCCCCCCTGTCACACTCAGGGCAGAGCTGATGGGGAGTTTGCGGCTCTACCCCATCACACACAGAGCAGGGCCCATGGGGGGGTTGGGGCTCTGCAGCCTGTCACACACAGAGCAGGGCGGAACAGGGGGTTGGGGAGCTCCTCCCTATCAGGCACAGAGCAGGGCTGATCAGGGGGTTGGGGCGCCTTCCCCTGCCACCAACAGAGCAGGGCGGATAGGGAGGTTGTGGCCCTGCCCCCTGTCACACACAGAGGGGTCAGGGCAAGGTCCCAGGTCCCAGGCCTGGTCTCAGGGTCCCAGCCCGAGGGCGGAGACTGAAGCGGGAAACTCAGTGTTGGGGAGTCCCCACCTCCCCGCAGTTTCACTTCTCCTCTCACAACCTGTGTGGGGCCCTCCTTCCTGGATACTCGTGACACGGCCCCAGTTCTCACTCCCATTGGTGTCAGGTGCTAGAAAAGCCAATCAGGGTTACCTTTGTCCCCAGTTAGAAGTCTCTGCGGACTCACCAGGACTCACAGACTCCCCAGACCTGGAGGATGCCAGTCATGGGGTCCCCAGCCCTCCTGCTGCTGCTCTGTGGGGCCCTGGCCTTGACCCAGACCTGGGCGGGTGAGTGCGGGGTCGGGAGGGAATGGCCTCTGGGGAGGGGGAGCGAGGGCGCCCGGCGGGGGCG